AAAAAAAAAAATATATATATTTTTTTCTAATAATTTTTCTAATTTCATGGGAAATAGCCATTAATTCTGATGCCAGCATATTTTGAAAGAACGATGCAAGAAAGGGCTGTTGTGTGCATTTTGAAATAAGGCAGAGATTTTCTTTTTTAAAGAGCTTAGTTAAATACTCAGCTGTATAATTATTATATCTGCTTTTAAAATGCATTATGTTTGTTAGCCTAGAGCAAAGATGATATGTTTATAATTTTTTTGTTGCTGTTTCGATAATGGTTGTGTATTTGAATTCTCTTACCTTAGTTTAAGCCCCTTTAATTAAGCTTTATTTAATAGCTTTCCTACAAGCATGGCAGAACAGCAAGCTGCCGGTCAGGGAATAGGGCTGGCCGTGCTTGTTAGGATGCAGAAAGTAAGAAGAAAAGTACGGTACTTGAACTCACCCTAATTTAAGCCTTGTTAAAACTAAGGCAGAGTTCCAGGTTTTTGTATGAAGGAACCTTTCCTCAATTAAATGAACAATCAAGAGTGCTGTTGTAATACGTGCACAATAGTTTAGTGAAGTGTATTTCTAGCATGTATTGCTAAGGCTGCATTTTACATTTTTTGGCATTCCAGCAGCCTGATCCTGCACTGAGACGTGGATAGGCAGTTGAAGCCACTGGGATTCTTCAAGAGGGACAGGGAATTACTTAATTGAAGTTATTTACTGAACTTCTAAGCCTTCTTGTTTTTTGAGGATATGTTGGGGGGCAGATGGCGACAGAATTATGGCAAAAGGTATTAAAGAAGGCATGTTCTCGAAAATGTTTCAGTTACTAATAACTGTTTGTCTTAATAGATCATTACATTTAAGGTTCTATAATTAGTTTGCAGATGCTGAAGGTTATTTTGCTGCCTGTGCAACAGACAACGCTGTAAACAGTTCTCTGGTAAGTTCCGTAGTTTGCAAATGTTAATGCTTTGTAGTGATATAACACACCGTTATACCTACCACCTTCTTGTTTTAAAAATATTGTCCACTTAAATGTAACAGCTTTCAGCAAATGGGATTAGTTTAGCTTTGCTTTCAACACAATGACTGAAAATAATTAACTTCTATAGTAGTAATAAGCGTTGTGAATAATGTCATTACTTAATATTAGAAATAGAAGTTCTCAGCTCAATAACATATTTACTTGAATGTTTCTGTCATGGTTTGACTGTGGGAGGGGAAAAAAAAATTATGTCATACAAAGGAAGCCTTTACATGTTCAGCTGCCAAGGCAAAATGTGGGGAGCTAGTGGTAAAGCCAGGCATCTTTCAAGACTAAGGCATACAGCAGAATCATTCAGTTAGCTGACTATCTTGTATACTGTGATCCTGTGTTGTAATTTGAATGAGAAATGAACTGCCTTCTTCCTTCCAGTGGATGGGGAGGGATTGTAGTTTACTGAATCAAGTGTCAGTGCTGGCATTTTGCTGATAAGATGGATTGCCGGATTGCATTTTTGCCATGCTTCTCATTATCCATGAATCACAGCTTGTTATGCCCTTGTCAGTCAGACTGCTGCTCAGTCTGGATAACCTAAACCAGAGGCTACGCTCAGAAATGGATCCAAAATAGAGAACTTCTGTTGAAGTTTGCATTACCTGCAGCTGTGGAAACACAATTCACTGTCAACCTTGGACAACATTGCATTAATTTAAACATCAAAAAAATATATTATCTTACCAAAAAAGTCTCTAATTCCTAATAAAAATGTAGCTAACAGAACTCTCCTATTATTTCAGTCTCCTACAGCTTATTTTAATTTAAATAAGCAGCTTAGCACTTGTCTTGTTGGAAGTATTTAAGCTATTAAAACTTCTGCCAAGAATCTCTGTATGCTGGAGTTCCTTTCCCAAAGTTTGTATGACATTGAGCTGTAGTCGATCAGCTTCTTGGGGTCATGGGAGGAAAATTAATGTTTGTTTTTTTCTTTTGTATGCATACTCTGTATTGTATGTTTTTAATTTAGTTTTTGAACAAAAGCTATGCATCTACTGAATTTTCTGTGATTTTTTGTAAGTTTTTCTTTTTTAATTCACATTTTGAATCTTGGGGCGTTGAGCTTTGTGTTCCTGAGGATAGGCGTGCGAGCACACAGTTAATTATGTCTGAGTGCTCCATGTTACCAATATATTTAACATGAAATATAGATAATGTATGAGCATTTGTGACAAGTCTATGCACAGTGTGCTGAAACACTCCTTAGATTTTTTGATTCTGTTAATATTTCACTAAACTTTTCTTTTGTTTTTAGTTTTATAATATGCTAAATTAATTTTACTGCTTATAATTTAAATATCCTGCTTAACTGTATTTTACTTATACTGATTCATTTCAGAGTGAACCTTTGTATGTTCCTGTAAAGTTTCATGATTTGCCAGCTGAAAAAAGTAGCAGTAATAATAGTGATGCAGAGAAAAGTGAGTAAACGTTTTTGGAATGCTGAAATGCCAGTTCTTTGAAAGGGTTGTTCTCCTGTTTTTTCGTATAGCCCCTATCATGTTGCAGGACTCGTTTTGTGTCTCTTTCTTCTCCCCCTACCCCTCCACCCTCAACCCCTTAAATCTCTTATCAGAAGCATTGTGGTTATGTGTAGAGAAAACATAGGCCTCTTGTTCAGTTTACCTTTCTTGGTCACTACAGATCCAGCCTATGTTTATCTCAAGGGACCAACTGGGTTCAGTACTTGTGATTCTTTCCTTCTGGGCTTGTATGACCAGCAGCAGTGAGTCAGCCTCTGGAAAAACAAACTATTGTCCCTTTTAGAGCAGGAGCAAAGCAGTCAAAGTAAGAATTTTAACAGTCTATGTGCATTCCGATTTTATTTAAGCCTCCCTATCTTGTGATAGTAGCTGAAATGGGCCTAACTGTCCGAGATGACTAACGATAAGTTGGCTATCAAAAAGACCCGTTACCTAATTGTCTGCAAAAAAAGTCCCTGCTTATGGAGGGGAAGGTCTTTGTGTTTATGTTAATGTCTAGGTGACAGCTTGCTTGTTCAAAGCCATTCTGAAAGGCTCTGCTATCCTCCTGTGAGATAACATGCACCAAACACTTGAGGGTTATTTGAGCTAGAACTTTTCCTCTTTTCCTTTTTAGGAAATGAGGTATTGTTTCATATTAAATTAGGCTAATATTTGTAAGTGACATGTAACTTTCTTCACATAGGATACTAATAACACTACGATACCCCAATAAATAAAATCTGAAGCAGTTCAATCCTGATATGCAGATTAATTGTACACAGAGGTTGGATTCCAATTAGGGAAGTGACCTCATAGTCTCTGCTAAGCTTCGAGGTCTGTTGGGCACTCTGATCCTCTGAATCAAACACAGTCCTTGCAGTTAACTTTAGCTGTGTGCAGTTTTTGGTTGCTTGTCTTTAACTGGTCGATAGTCAATCTTATATGCAGAATTTATCAATACAGAATAATTCCTGCCTAAAAGTTTGTTGTTGCCTTGCAGGGATTTTTTTTGTTGTTGTTTGGCAGGGGGCTGGGGGAGATGGCACTTTTCAGTGAGGTTTTTGTGGATGGACAGCAGTACTGATTTAAAACAATAATTGTGCTCCATCTTATTAGCAGCCTATAAAATAGCAAAATACTGCCTTAATAAAGGCAGTATTTTATTTTTATAAAAACTTGTTACGGTTTCTGAAGTATTGTAATCAGTGCAATATTAAAACATCATAGTTTTATTTTTTGTTGTTTTGGCTTAAAAAGTTTAAAGATCATGTGTGACTTTGTTTTGTTTTGTTTTTTAAGCTCCCAAAAAGCCTCGTGTACGGTTCAGTAATATTATGGAGATTCGACAACTCCCATCAAGCCATGCGTTGGAAGCAAAGCTGTCTCGCATGTCATATCCAACTGTTAAGGAAA